TTCTCGGGGACACACGGTAGGTCAAGCCCGCTTTTTGTGATTACTGTAACTTTTCTTCAGAGTATTTACTTTTACCCTTCTAGGAACTTTCCCCAGGGGGTTTTCCCTGTTCCTCCAGGACTCTGTTACTCCGCATTCCTTGACCACCACAGCAGAGGTTCAAGACTTACCAACCGGTCTCGGTCGTTCTGAAGGGAGGAGAGGGCCTTCTTGAGGCTCGATGTTTCAGCCAGACTGGAAGAGACGCCGGCGGCCGACTGGAGCTTCACCTCCTCCGTCTTGCGGGTTTTGTCCAGCTGGCTCATCAGGCGGTCTCGCTCGGCCTGCAGGCTGGCCAAGGCCTGGGAGAAGCCCTTCACTTGGCTAGAGGCCCTCTCCAGCTCCGACGAGAGGCCGGCGAGCTGCGAGTCTTTGGATTGGAGCTGCTGCTGGAGCTTCTCCAGCTTCTCCGAGAAGCCCTTCTCTTCCGCTGCGCCTCGGAGAGCGGCGAGCTCGGAGGTCAGGCCGTCCTTCTGCTTCTCCAGGGCTGCTTGCGCCTCCTGAGCGTGGAGCTTCTCCTGGCGGAGGCCCTGAACCAGCTGCCTCTGCTCTTCCAGGTCTGCTGCGTATTTCTTCTCCAGGGTGCGCCGTTCTTCATGAGACTGGTCCCAGCTGTCTTGGAGAGAACTCATGGCCTTCTTGAAGGACTGGATCTGGGCCTTCAGGTCCTGGTTCTCCTCTGTGACCGCCAGGAGGTTCTGCTCCATCTGCAGGAGGTCCTTGGCCAGCTCTGCCACCCGTTCCTCGGCGGTCTCGGTCTCGTTCCGCAGGAGCCCGGTGTCGTGGCGGAAGCTCTTGAGCTCTCTCTTCATCTCGGCTTCCGCCTCCTGCAACTTCTGGTGAAGGCCAGCCAGCTCCTCTTCCAGGCCCGCCACCTGCTGATTGGCGCGCGACAGCTGCCCACCCAAACTCTGGACTTCATCCGATTTCTCTTGCAGCTGCAACTGCAGCTCCGGCGCGGGACCCCCTTCCCGCAGGACCAGCATCTCGTCCTGCAACTGGGAGAGGGAGGACTTGAGAGCCTTGACCTCCTGGCCCAGGTCCTGCTTCTCCAGCTGCAGGGCCTCCGCGGTTCTCTCTAGGTTGGCCAAGCTAAGCTCGGACTCTCGCAGCTGGCCTTCCACAACTGCCTTCTCCTTCTCCAGGGCCTGGATCCGGTCCATCTGGGTCTTCAGGAGCTGCTTCTGCTGAGTGTCCTTGATGGAGATGACTTGGTTGAGGTCTTGGCGATAGCGGACCAGCTCGGCATCCAACTTGGCGTTCTCCGCGTGCAGATCGTCCATTTGTCCGTGGAGGCTCCGAAGTTGCTCCTTCAAGGAGTTGTTTTCCGAGGCCGCTTCTTGGATGAGTTGATCCTTCTCTAAAATGGCGGCCAGGTGACGTTGTTCCAGCTGCCGATAGTCTTCCAGGATTCTGTCCCGGTCATCTTGCAGGGAAGACATGCACTTGGTGAAGGCATCTAGGTGAGCTTTGTGCTGCTTGCTCTCTTCGGAGATGTTCTTCAACTTCTCCGTGAGGCCGTTCACTTTCTCCTGAGCTTTTGCATTCTCAGCCTCCAAGGCCACCTTCTCCACTTCGGCCTTGGCCAGCTGGTTCTCCAGCTCCTTCAGGTCTTCCTTGTGCTGCTCTTGGCTTTCTAACAAGGCTTCAGCTACAGCCTCTTCCTTGGCGGCCACAAGACGGACAATCTTCTGCTCCTTGTGGCTGATCTCGTTGTGGAGTCTCTCCGTCAGCTCCTTGGAAGCCCGCAGATCGGCCGCCAGCTGCTCCAGACTCAACCTGCAGTCCTGAAGACTGGCCTCCTGGTTCTTCATCGTCTCCGAGCCCTCGAGACGAGCTCGGTTGCAGTCTTCGAAGGAGGCCTGCAGATCGGCCAGCTGCTTTCTCAGGGACCCAAGTTCTCCCTCTTGGTGGAGAACCTGCCTCTGGGAGTCGCTCAGGAACCGCTGGACCTCTTCCAGCTGAAGTCCAAGCCTGCGCTTCTCCTCCTGGAGCGACCCGACTTCTTCTCGATGATGCTGGAGCTCCTTCTGGGCATGAGACTCCTGGGCCAACTGGCTGCGTTCCAAGCTGCAAGCAGAAATGGCAGAATCTGATAAGAGCCCATGTACCAGGGGTGTCAAACTCGATTTGAGGGCCACATCGGGATTGTGTTTAACCTCGTGCCTGGGGGGGGCGTGGCCTGAAGGCATGGCCAGCTCAACATCACTTATGTTGGGGGTGCCTGTGGTGGCCCAAGCACTCTGCCAGCAAAAACAGAACCCAAACTCCGCTTTTGCTGGCAGAAGAACCGTGAGCTGGTCCTTCGCTGTTTCCAGGGCAGCCCAGTTGGCATGGTGTGGCTTGGTGGGCGTGGCTTGGTGGGCGTGGCTGGGGGCCCTGCCACTGCAAAACCAACATCCCCTCCCAATCAGCTGGAACTGGGGAGGCAGAGAATAGATGGGGGCAGGGCCTGTCAGAGGTGGTATTTGTCGGTTCTCCCGACTACTCAAAATTTTCGCTACCGGTTCTCTAGAACTGGTCAGAACCTGCTGAATCCCACCTCTGGTCTCTCCCTACTAACAGAAGAGAATAGCCATAGCTCAGGGTTGAATTGTGAGGTCTTTGGTGCTCTCTGAGCTTGGCGATTCTCCTGCAGGCGTTTCACGACCCAACTAGGGAACAGCATCAGTGCTAGA